GGAATACTTGTCAGGAAGGGCAGCAGCGAGTCATGGTACGTGGCGAGGTGTCAGAGTGGGTTTCCTGTGACCAGCGGGGGCCCGCAGGGGTAGTCCTGGCCAGTGCTGTTTCTGGTATTTGTGAAGACTGACGGGAAAGGGAAAAGACTTGAGGTGTCCGTTTGCAATGACGTGAAGTTGATGAGAAGAATACACTCGATCAAAAAGACCAGCAGAATACAAAGGGATTGGACAGGCTGCAGACCTGGCCCAGCAATTGGCCCCTGGAGTTCAATCCCCCCAAGTGCAAAGTCATGAAGATTGGGAAGGGCAAGAAAGGCCGCAGACGGAGTACAGTCTAGGGGGTCAGAGACTACAAACCTCAACAAGGAAAAAGATTCTTGGGGTGAGTTTAAACCCAGGCACATCTCCTGAAGCGCACATCAACCAAATAACTGCTGCAGCATATGGGCGCCTAGCAAAACCTCAGAAAAAGCATTCCGACATCTTAATAAGGAATCGTTCAGGACCCTGTACACCGTATACGTTAGGCCCATATTGGAAGTATGCGGGACCAGTTGGAACCCACACCTAGCCAAGCACGTAAAGAAACTAGAGAAAGTGCAAAGGTTTGCACAAGACTAGTCCCAGAGTAAGAGGTATGTCTACGAGGAGAGGTTAAGGGAAATCAACCTGACGACACTGGAGGACAGGAGAGATAGGGGGGACATGATAACGACATCAAAAATACTGAGAGGAATTGAAAGGTGGACAAAGACAGGATGTTCCAGAGATTGGGACACAGTAAAAAGGGGACACAGTTGGAAGCTGAAGACCCAGATGAATCACAGGGATGTTAGGAAGTATTTCTTCAGCCACAGAGTAGTCAGTAAGTGGAATAGTTTGGGAAGCGATGTAGTGGAGGCAGGATCCATACATAGCTTTAAGCAGAGGTTATGATAAAGCTCACGGCTCAGGGAGAGTGACCTAGTAGCGATCAGTGAAGAGGCGGGGCCGGAGCTCGGACTCGACCCCCGCAACCTTCAAAATAGGGGAGTACAACTAGGTGAAGTACACACACACAACACACACAACACACACACCCCACACACAACCTCAAACACACACACACACCACACACACCAACACACCACACACACACACACACAACACACACAACACACTCTCTCTCTTCCCCCACGCGCACACCCCACACACACACACACACACACACCACCACAACACACACCACTCTCTCTCTCACACAACGCACCACACACACACACACTCACACAACAACACACACACCCCACACAAACAACACCCCAAAAACACACACACACAACCCCACACACACACTCAAACACACAAAACCCCACACACACACACACCACACCACACACACACAACACAAACCCGGCACATCTCCTGAAGCGCACATCAAAAAAATAATGCTGCGTATGGGGCCTAGCAAAAATCAGAACAGCATTCCGCATCTAATAGGAATCATTTAGGACCCCGTAACCGTGTATGTTGGCCCATATTGGAGTATGCGGCACCATTTTGGGAACCCACACCTAGCCAAGCACGTGAAGAAACTAGAGAAAGTGCAAAGGTTTGCAACAAGACTAGTCCCAGAGCTAAGAGGTATGTCCTACGAGGGAGGTTAAGGAAATCAACCTGACGACACTGGAGGACAGGAGAGATAGGGGGGACATTTATAACGACATACAAAATTACTGAGAGAAATTGACAAAGGGGGACAAAGACAGGAGTTCCAGAGATTGGGACACAGTAACAAGGGGGCACAGTTGGAAGCTGAAGACACAGATGAATCACAGGGATGTTAGGAAGTATTTCTTCAGCCACAGAGTAGTCAGTAAGTGGAATAGTTTGGGAAGCGATGTAGTGGAGGAAGGATCCATACATAGCATTAAGCAGAGGTATGATAAAGCTCACGGCTCGGGGAGAGTGACCTAGTAGCGATTAGTGAAGAGGCGGGCCAGGAGCTCGGACTCGACCCCCGCAACCTCAACTAGGTGAGTACAACTAGGTGAGTACACACACACACACACACTCTCTCTCTCACACACACGCACACACACACACACACACACACACACACACACACACAACACACACACACACTCTCTCTCTCTCTCACACACACACGCACACACACACACACACACACTCACACTCACACACACACACACACACACACACACACACACACACACACACACACACACACACACACACACACACACACACACACACACACACACACACACACACACACACACACACTGGCAGGGAAGCCAGTTAATGAGATGATGGAATATGTAGCAACAAAATGCAAGGAGGCTGAGGAGAGGTTTGTACCCAAGGGTAACAGGAATAATGAAAAAGCCAGGATGAGCCCATGGTTTACCCAAAGGTGCAGGGAGGCAAAAACCAAGTGTGCTAGGGAATGGAAGAAATATAGAAGGCAAAGGACCCAGGAGAATAAGGAGAGCAGTCGTAGAGCCAGAAACGAATATGCACAGATAAGAAGGGAGGCCCGAAGACAATATGAAAATGACATAACAGCGAAAGCCAAATCTGACCCGAAACTGTTGTACAGCCACATTAGGAGGAAAACAACAGTCAAGGACCAAGTAATCAGGCTAAGGAAGGAAGGAGGAGAGACAACAAGAAATGACCGTGAAGTATGTGAGGAACTCAACAAGATATTAAAAGAAGTGTTCACAAAGGAGACAGAAGGGGCTCCAGAAAGACGGAGAGGTGGGGCACACCACCATGTGCTGGACACAGTGCACACAACCGAGGAAGAAGTGAAGAGGCTTCTGAGTGAGCTAGATACCTCAAAGGCAATGGGGCCAGATAACATCTCCCCATGGGTATTGAGAGAGGGAGAAGAGGCGCTATGTGTGCCCCTAACAACAATATTCAATACATCTATCGAAACAGGGAGATTGCCTGAGGCATGGAAGACAGCAAATGTAGTCCCAATCTTTAAAAAAGGAGACAGACATGAAGCATTAAACTACAGACCAGTGCCACTGACATATATAGTATGCAGAATCATGGAGAAGATTATCAGGAGAAGAGTGGTGGAACACCTAGAAAGGAATGATCTCATCAACAGCAGCCAACATGGTTTCAGGGACGGAAAATCCTGTGTCACAAACCTACTGGAGTTCTACGACATGGTGACAGCAGTAAGACAAGAGAGAGAAATACTGAGAGGAATTGACAATGTGGACAAAGACAGGATGTTCCAGAGATGGGACACAGCAATAAGGGGACACAGTTGGAAGTTGAAGACACACATGAATCACAGGGATGTTAGGAAGTATTTCTTCAGCCACAGAGTAGTCAGAAAGAGGAATAGTTTGGGAAGCGATGTAGTGGAGGCAGGATCCATACGTAGCTTTAAGCAGAGGTATGATAATGCTCACGGTTCAGGGAGAGTGTCCTAGTAGTGACCAGTGAAGAGGCGGGGCCATGAGCTAGAACTCGACCCCTGCAACCTCAACTAGGTGAGTACAACTAGGTGAGTACACAGACACACACACACACACATACACACACACAAACACGCACACCATTGGCCAGCGATGAGGCGGGGCCAGGAGACGTGACTCGACCTCTACGATCACAGATAGGTGAGTACACAGAAAAATATGGGAAGATAGAGAAAACCAGAAACGAATACCAGATTTCACAATAGTTAAGATCGCCCTCAAACAAGAGGAGGGAACTAAGGGTAAGCATAGCACCAAGTGTGTCACTTAAGGTGCCCTTCAAATGAAACCCTTGAGCATTCCGCTACTTCAGAATAACATTCAGGAACCTTGTGAGCATGCACCACCATCTTGGAGCTCACAAAAATCAAGTAAAGAAACTAAAGAAAGTTCAGAAGTGAGACTGCTCTGTGTACTGACCTCCATACAGACAGACATGCACATCTCGTGGCACTGAAATTCAGATACACAAAATAAACAGCAGATTCATAGTCATTTAGTCTCTCAATAATATAGAGCAGAATTAGGACATCTTAATATCACGGAATTCCAAGCACAAAATATCCTTTGTTGACAGAATCCTATAAGTAACCTGGTAATATCTCTACTGATTGCTCTCTTCTCGCTACACCTGACTCTGAAACATCTCTCCTGGTGACATTGTGCATTTCTCACCACTGCGTCTCATTGGATAAAGCGAAACCTTGCCAAATATAGGTTTGCTGTGCTATAAGTATTTTTGTATTAGCCAGTAAGTGTTGTCAAGCGAATTGTTTTTTTTAATATTGAATACAAGGCAAACGGTGCTTAACAAGATTTTATTGGGGCAATGTTTCCGTCTGTTAGAACGAGTAAATGCTTTCTTATATATCAGTAAATGGTTGGCAATTACTAAACTCCAGGAAATAAAAGGCTTAGTATGACAGGCATTTTGATGTTAGGAAACTTTAGCTAACATCAGTATTGCTGGAACAGTTGTGGGATTTTATAACGGAGGTGAGTTCTCGATACCGCTCCCTGTAGCATTTTTGTCTATCATCACACCATCAAGACTTACTCTCACTACACTTTGTCACTAACTCTACCAGCGAGTTACGTTACTGAGCAGCTCAGGCAAAGCAGGAGTCTGCTCTCTAATCATCCTGTTGAATAAATCAAGTTATAATAATCATGGGGAAACATTGAGTCCATAGGGATCATGAAGGTCTCGGGGAAGAATAAGTAATGAAGTTTGATCCTGGAAAGAGCATTCCCCTCAGGGAAGATTTCATGATGCTGGTGAGGGGCTCTTGATCTAGGGAATTGGATCTGTGCTTCAGTTCCCTGAATTGAATCTGAATACCTGCTATCCCCTCTCCCTACATGTGCTGTATAATCTCTACGGGTTTAGCGCTCCCCCATGATTATAATAATATAATAATGGAAAGAGCCTTTGCAAAGTAGGGAAAGATCTCTTTTTCTTCCTTGAAGGAGGAATTATGAAAAACTTACCCCAGGTGGCAGAGAGGCAGCAGGTTATTATCAAGGATGTTGGCAGTGCAGCAGGGCCGACCATCATGCCAGCAGTCTCCTGACAACGATGACAGTGGGCCTCTTGACAACAGCAAGTGATGGTATTCCTCCAGGTGGCACTGATGGTGTGTCACCCTTTTTCCTCAGTGGTCGTCTCCTCTTCCCACCAGTGTCAGATGGCACAGTGTTCACTTCTGAGTGACAGAACATTGATCATTCCTGAGTGACACCACAGTGATCACTCCTGAGTGACTGCACAGTGTTCACTCCTGAGTGAATCATTCACTCAGTGTTTTAAACTCTGGCAATGTTCCTCATACATGTATGATGAGCCATTTAGGTTTCATGTTTATTAATGCGAGTCATAGTGTAGTGAAGCCATTAATTTCAAGCATAATTAGACATTGTTACATATCTTATAACCTGAACTGGATACTGAAAAGAGTATTAAAAATAAATATATCACAAGATGGCTTTAAAATATTTAAAACATTACCAAATAAAATAACTGAAACAGAAAAAATAGGTCAAACGAGTGATTTACAGACATCTCAACAAAAGTATATTAAGTCTGAGACAACACCGAGTACTATTTATCACAGTTTATTGTACTGTTTGAAAAAATTTTAAACAAATTATAGAAAAAATCTCTCGCACACACAAGTCGTCGAGGAAACTGGTCATCCACTGTGAGGATGACCAAAGGGTCCTCATAATTACTAGGAAGAAATTAAGACACTTGTGCAACATCTGGGTATCTTTATTGTAGACGTTTCGCCATCCAGTGGCTTTATCAATACAAATTCTAGGACATAACTTGAAGACAGTAGAACTATATACAGAAAATGAGGTAATCAGTCCCTCTGATATATAGTCCTACTGTCTTCAAGCTATGTTCTAGAATTTGTATTGATAAAGCCACTGGAGGGCGAAACGTCTACAATAAAGATACCCAGATGTTGCACATGTGTCTTAATTTCATCTTGTCGGTATTATATACCATTCTTGCACTAGGAAGAAGTCAGATTTATCGACACTTACAGTGGATTAAGGATTACTGGAGGTACTGTAGCGGTGGTGGAATACCACCACTACAGTACTTCTATGCGCTCTTCATTTGCAATGGATTATTACTTAAGCCATTGTAAATGAAGAGGTGTCAGAATGGGCGCATGTGACGAATGGTGTGTCACAAGTATTGTTACTGGGAGGCACGTTGTGGAATCAAAGAATAACTTTTGGGAACCTAAGCTAATAGTCATTCATGACACCTCCAGCACTACCATCAGCACTACAGTACCTCCAGTACTGCCACCACTACAGTACCTCCAGTACTACCACCACTACAGTACCTCCAGTACTACCACCACCACTACAGTACCTCCATAGCACCACTACGTACCTACCACCACCACCACCACTACAGCACCTCCAGTAACACACCACCACCACCACACAGTACCCAACTACCACCAACCACTACAGCACCTCCAGTACTATCACCACCACCACTACAGTACCTCCAGTACTACCACCACTACAGTACCTCCAGTACTATCACCACCACCACCACTACAGCATCTCCAGTACTATCACCACCACCACTACAGTACCTCCAGTACTACCACCACTACAGTACCTCCAGTACTACCACCACTACAGCACCTCCAGTACTATCACCACCACCACTACAGTACCTCCAGTACTACCACCACTACAGTACCTCCAGCACTACCACCACCACACCACCACTAATACCACCTCCAGTACTATCACCACCACCACTACAGTACCTCCAGTACTACCACCACTACAGTACCTCCAGCACTACCACCACCACCACCACTACAGCACCTCCGGTACTATCACCACCACCACTACAGTACCTCCAGTACTACCACCACTACAGTACCTCCAGTACTACCACCACCACTACAGTACCTCCAGCACTACCACCACCACCATCACTACAGTACCTCCAGCACTACCACCACCACCACCACTACAGCACCTCCGGTACTATCACCACCACCACTACAGTACCTCCAGTACTACCACCACTACAGTACCTCCAGTACTACCACCACCACACATACCTCCAGCTACCACCACCACTACAGTACCTCCAGTACTACCACCACCACCACCACTACAGCACCTCCCGGTACTATCACCACCACCACTACAGTACCTCCAGTACTACCACCACTACAGTACCTCCAGTACTACCACCACCACTACAGTACCTCCAGTACTACCACCACCACTACAGTACCTCCAGCACTACCACCACCACCACCACTACAGCACCTCCGGTACTATCACCACCACCACTACAGTACCTCCAGTACTACCACCAACTACAGTACCTCCAGTACTACCACACCACTACAGTACCTCCACTGTACTACCACCACTACAGTACCTCCAGTACACCACCACCACTACAGTACCTCCAGCACTACCACCACCCCACCACTACAGTACCTCCAGTACTCCACTAGACACCACACTACCACCCCAGTATCCTCCAGTACTACCACCACCATCACCACTGCAATATCTTCAGTGCTTCCACCACCACTACAGTACCTCCAGTACTACCACCATCGCTACAATACCTCCAGTGCTGCCACCACCACCACACACCTCAGTACTATCACCACCACCACCACTACAGTACCTACAGTCTACCACCACACTACAGTACCTCCAGTCTACCACCCAACCCTACAGTACCTTCAGCACTACCACCACCACCACCATCACTACAGTATCTCCAGTAAGACCACCACCACCACTACAGTACCTCCAGTACTACCACCACAACTACAGTACCTCCAGTACTACTACTACCACCACTACATTACCTGCAGTACTACCACCACCACCACCACTGCAATACCTACAGTGCTTCCACCACTACTACAGTACCTCCAGTACTACCACCATCGCACAGTACCTCCAGTACTACCACCACCATCACCACCACCACTACAGTACTTCCAGTGCCACCACCACCATCACTACAGTACCTCCAGTACTACCACCACCACCACCACTACAGTACCTCCAGTACTACCACCACCACCACCACCACTACAGTACGTCCAGCACTACCACCACCATCACTACAGTACCTCAAGTACCATCACCACTACAGTACCTCCAGTACCACCATCACTACAGTACCTCCAGTACTACCACCACCATTCACCCCACCACTACAGTAACTCCATGCCACCACCACCACATATACATAGTACTTCAGTAGCCACCACCCCATCACTACAGTACCTCCCATACTAACCACCACCACCACACTACGTACCTCCATACTACCACCACCACCACACCACTACTGTACGTCCAGCCTACCACCACCATCACTACGATACTCAATTACATCACTCGTACAGTACCTCCAGTACCACCATCACTACAGTACCTTTCGTACTACCACCACCAACCACCACCACTACAGTACGTCCAGCACTACCACCACCATCACTACAGTACCTCCAGTACCATCACCACTACAGTACCTCCAGTACCACCATCACTACAGTATCTCCAGTACTACCACCACCACCACCACCACCAACCACCACCACCACCACCACCACCACCACCACTACTGTACCTCCACCACTTATTTCCGAGGAGTTATTTCTGTAATATGGTCTACGATCTATCTCCCATTTATTGTCACCTTTCCTTCTCCCTTTATCTTCCCCTTTTTCTTTTCCATCAATTTCTCCAATTATATATTCTTTACATGATGCTGTTATTCCATGTATGTTTCAGATTTTGTTTGTTTATTTATATCCCAGACATTCATCCCTTAAATTTTGTTGAAATCTCTTAAATGGAACATAAAGAACACACATTCATGGAACTATATGTAGGTAAATGATAAACAAATAACCCGCACATAGAAGAGAGGAGCTTACGACGACGTTTCGGTCCGACTTGGACCATTTACAAAGTCACAGTGTGACTTTGTAAATGGTCCAAGTCGGACCGTAACGTCGTCGTAAGCTTCTCTCTTCTATGTGCGGGTTATTTGTGTATCGTTCCAGTCACGGTATTGTGCCTTTTTTGTTATTTATAGGTAAATGCTTTTATTGAAACCTCTTTGTAACTAGTTAATGGTCCAAGTTGGACCGAAATGTCGTCATAAGTTTCGGTCTCCTAAGTACTTATTATCTGTATATTTACAACCTTTTACATGCATTAATTACCTTCAACACCGTGCTCGACATGTGTTGTTAACTACCCCTAGAAATATCTCCTCCTTAGAAAGAGAGAGAGAGAGAGAGAGAGAGAGAGGCTGTCTGGCCTGGGAGATACACTTATAAACAACAATGTCTGGCATATAATATGAGATGTTGTACACATTAAAAATTATATACATGGAATAATAGCATCATGAAAAGAAGGTATGACACCAGGAACAGGTGGATAGGAAGGAGAGGAAGATGGAGGGGAAAGGAGAGATGGCTGTAAACTGTAGACACATAACTGACCACATAAGTGAAAGCTCCTCTTTTCCTCCTCCTCTTCGCTATTTACTAATTACCATAGTTGTGTGGGAACCTTTCTTCGCAGATGTGTGATGGCTACTGGTGGTGGTGGTGGTGGTGGTGGTGGTCATAATTGTGGTGGTAGTGATGGCGACTAGTGGTAGTTAGGGAATGGGAACAGATAAATAATCATCAAAGAATTAAACAATTACAGCAAGGAAAATATAGAGAATAATGTAAAAATACAAAGGTGAGGCTGCCTGAGCCAGCCACGAGACAATGTAAACATCTCAGACCATCTCTGAGGAGATCACAAGAGGACAAGACGACTCTCACACAGGATACGGGTCGATACTTCAACGAAGAAACTAAACCGTCCAGTGACCGCCTCTCACATGTCAAGTGGGGCGGTAATTCCTCAGTATAGGAGATCGCTCTGTAAGAGATCATCCAGATCTTTAAACCACTACTGTGTGTGTACATAAGCGTTTGCGCGCACGCGCACACATACGTATATATACAATAAGATTAAAGTAATCAGGTGATATCACAGTATCAAGGAACTATAGTTCCTTGATTGTGTGAGAAATCACGTAAGCGCTTGGAATATCACTATTTTTCACAGTGGTTATTCTGCATACGTATATACGTATTCAAGCACACACGAAAATTTTTGTGGTAATGGCTACTGACGACTGGAATAACGAAATCCCTAGACAGAGATTCAATGGGTTTAATACAGTTCAAGATTTTGAGCATACACCCCACACTAGTCTTGTCTAGTGTGGAGTAAGGGCCCAGGGCACCTGCTGAGGAAGATGTGAGCTGGACATGAATACCCAAAGGGGGTAGCATACCTGACAATCTTACTCTCAAACAGAGGTTTAACAACTGATATATCTAT